ACAACCAAATCGTGTCAGGAGAAAGTAATTCATTTAAAAAAATGCTCATGTTTATGACAAATTTGTCTACAAAGACATTGTACCTACTCCATTTCCATTACGCACCTCTACATCTGCTGCTCTTATGCAACGTAATGAGGATAACCACTATAATTACTTGAAACAATGTCGATTCTCTAAAATGGGTATTTAAATTATCATCTTTTCGATGTAGAAACTTTTTTGTGTGCAAGCGTCTTATTTACGTATTTAATTTCCCGGCAACAGGTGATTTGTTGTAAAGGTGAATAGGATATTACATGGCTCATAAATTAAATTAATTGTTTATTGATATATCGGTCGAGGGCCGCCGGTCATAATAATCTACGAGATATTATCGCATAGGAAAAAGTGCGTTATAAAAATAGTACGTACGCTTTTATTACGACATCGAATGTTTATAAACATTGATCTCTTAATTATGCAAAAATATTATTGGAGGATTTAGAGGGGTAATCAAACTTAATTGGGACCATCTATAGGTACCAACTTGAAACAGAAACTGATTTGTAAATCGTGGAGGTACAACGAAATACCTCTTCGTGTTTTAATTTAACTAATATTCAAGCTTGGTCGATGATCTTCTTATTGGAAAGTGAATAATCTTCAAATTAGCATATTTTACACATTGACAGCAATGCGTTTATCATGTCAACAGGATTAGCTAATCAATTTAAGTTATACTTATACATTACATACTAAATTCATGTAACGAAAATTTGAATCGTTAAACAATGTATTTAGGTAGGTACTAAATATTACAATTTTCACAAATTGTTAATTTATATAATCATCATATCCAGTAGTAACAGTTCTGATGAAGTTTTGTATAATTACGTGCTATTATATAATTCGAAATAATGGAAGAAATGACACTAGTTAGAAAATGAAAAATATTTTCCTTAGGCGATCGAGTCGGATTTATTTAAGGCATGTAAAAAAAACATCCATCAAAAGTCCCAAAATGTGCGTTTTTTGTCTGAATAACCATAACAGATACAAGGAAAGAACTTGCGAGCTTCTGTGGGTTACCGAAAGTTTAATCAGTTCTTCCTTGGATGATGATAAACATAATAGGAAAATTCGAAACCGTTCGCGAGTTATCACGTACATTTGTACACAGATGGACTGACGGGCGGACAGAAAGTTCAAAATCATGAACTCGCTTTAGGGGCTCCTTAATAAGGCGTCCAAAATTAATGTTTGAAATTTGAAAAAAAAGAACTCCAGTTGGTGAGACCGAATTGTAAGAGGGTTTTCGGCAGACGAGGTTAGACTTAAATTTTCAAAGAGTAAGCACGTGTTATCACGTGCGAGGAAGTCAACTGTACCATCGAAGCGACCTGTTTCTATACTTCTAATGGGAGCGACATTTTCCAAAAAGAGATCAAATAAATTTCTTACCAAAAGAGAATAGTACCCACGTCAATAATTTGCACAAGAACTTTTGTACCAAGTAATTTTAATATTCCTAAAGAAATCGACCCGTGAAAATTATTTGCATGAATCAGAATTTGTATTGTATTCATTGATAAGATCAAACCCAAACAAAGGATTTAGGTTATTTTGCTTCATTTTGGCGAGTTCAAATTTTATTTAATCTTTAACCAACAACTGAAGGAATTTTTTGGCGCTTCTTAGAACATTTTGAAAGAAAATTTGGATTACTTTGTTAGAACTTTTCGGGAATTTTCTGGAGCTTACCAGGCAATTTTAGTCACTTTACGATCTTGCCAAAACTGTTCAAGCGGAGCTTTCTTGGGTTTTCCGGAGAGTTTTGTGTTCTTTCTCGAGTCCCTGTCCCATCAATGTTTTCGAAGCCGATTTACCTAGATCTAGCAAGTGGACATAAGATTCTTGAAGGTTGGAGAAAAGTATCCCTGACATGCCTATTACATTTTCTAGAAAGCGCTGGAAACCCCTATAAGCGCTTTCTACAGTCTCCCAGGCATTTACTGTAGTGACTTTCAGAGTGCCTTAGGAAACCACCAGTGCTTCTATTCATAGTGCATTTAGGTGCGTTCACAGGTTTCTTGTTTTTTTTCAAAACGTTTTTAGAACTCTTTCAAGAACTGTATTGATATTGTAAAGTATTCTTTCTCCCTTCCACAGCAGTTCTAGACGCTTTACAAAGCGTTACAGTCCTTTTCCACAAGCATTCTAGGAAGGTTCCAGTACCGGTTTGGCGTATAATTAAATAAGGTATCTAAGAGTTTAGGAATGACCTAAAGTGAGCTTTTGTGACGCGACGAAAAGCTCTGGCAAGCTTTTAAACACATTCTAAAGTATCGGAAGATTTTTCTAAACCTATGGCAGATCACCTTCCTCATCGACGGAAATTTTTTAATTCTTCGAAGTTTTCCGTTTCTTCAAATTGTTCTGATATCTAAAATTGCTCAAATTTTTACAACTCATACAGCTCTTATTCTTCTTTCATTAAATTCTCCCACTTTTTTAAAGTTTTCTCTTCAAATTCTTTAGTTTCTCAAATCGTTAATTTCCTAATTTTTTTGTAATATATGAATTTTTCGATGCTTGTATTTCATCTGGCGTTTTATTTTTTAAGTTTGTCTATCTTTCCGATTTTTCATATTCTTCCGACTCCTGGGATCCCCAGATTAGCTTATTCAGGTCTATCGTACTGTTAGGACTAATCTCAGATATAGTCAACAACGGTATTCAAAGAAACTCGAGAAAATGTAACGGTAGCTCTAAATTTGGATTTATTCTCTTCGAATTTTATAGAGGTAGGTAAAGTTGGGATTTTTGGGAATTTTTTAGAGCTTTGAATATTTTAGCCATGTCATAAAACGAATGTATTACACTAATTTTTATTTGAAATATGTTAGTTGGTCAAATAAAAATGGGAATTGTAAAAATCCTTATGTAATTAGTGGAATTAATGGTCGTCTTTTCTGCGTCATTTGATTTCTATAGCGCGTTGTCCTCTGAATAGGAAATTCTAGGCTCCAGTGAGTCGGAGGTATAGAATGTAATCTTATCTTATTAGGGTTTTTGTTGCAAAGATCTCCGATCTAAAAATTACGCAGCCTTGAGATTACAAGTCCGCATTATAGAAATACAATTGCGAGCACAATTCGCGTGTGTGGGTTTTTTAGGGACAGCCTAGTTTTTCTTGCACTCTGCGAGTACAGCGATCCTGATTGGTTTTTAAAGACGTCATATTGGAAAAGGCGTCGATTAATTAATGGAAAAATAGACAGGGGTTAGTCTGGGAAGTCTTTGAAGGCATTCGGTCTAAGACTATCATAAGGGAGCCACGTTCGATTGCCGTTTCTTTGCAATTTTTTCGGACACTGATTTGAAACATTAATTTCTCGCTAGTTTTCAGATAACATCCGAAAAAACTTCATCCAGAGGGCAACGACTCCCTGATAAATTCGTAGAAGAAAAGTATCCGACGGCACGATCCAGTTTGCATTTCATTTTGTCATCGCACGAAGTATTGTATCAGGCATCAGCAAAGAATAAGCGCCTCTAACTTCATGTACGAGGAAGAAGCAGCTATTACATATACATACAGCTTTCATTGTTAATAACGCCGGGATTTTATAAAGAAGTTGCCAATTAGATCGAAGATTGCTATGAACATTGTTATAACACTTTCCGTAATTGCATTCGAAACCTGGATCGTATTACGTGTGACGTGATACAGGTCGGTTCAAGATAAAGGTACGTTTTTGCACCACGTATTTAATAAACTCAATTGAGTTGAGTTTCTCTGAACAGTCGTTTATATTGTTTGTGCTTAAGACTTTGGGATACATTATAATTGAATTTATCATTAGATTCAAATTGTGTTAATTTTAAGACAGATTTTTCAGATGGGATTCGAAACCTGCATTGAATTGTGTATTTCTGTGAATTGTAACCTATAACGTTTGTATCATAAATAAAGCAGACGATGTATTACATTGCATTGGACTGTATTTGTTGATTTAAATGTATAATTCAAGATTTTAAAGGCATATTTAATTTTGGTACTTTATTTGAGCGCAACGTAGCCAATTTTTTTGTCATAAATCTACCGAAAGTTTTGGATTATCAATACTACATTATTTTATGTTTGATACGTCCCTGGAATACAGCACGCCACTGGTGACCAAAAATTGAAAATAGTATCATTGAAAACCTCGAAAGTGATTTCGATTTTTGAGCTTGTGTCGTGTTTGTCAAATTACCGTGTACTTAGCAGGACACTAGGCAGGACACCTCTGAATTAGATTTATGCGTTGAAAAGCTCAAAAAAGTTCATAACATACCTATAGATCGAACTTCAATTTTTTAGCTGTTATGTTGCATTTGCAATTTTCAAAGTCCCCAAAGGGAACGGAGTTTGCACCGATAAACGTACATACATGATCTGTCGTTGTGGTTGGTTTGTCGGAACGTCTAGATCTAGCATCTTTCGATGATAATATAGTAGTAATTATAATTATTCAATAATGTTAATGATATTTATTTATTTCATTGTTTGTTTACTTTACTTTTGTGTACCTGTGTAGTAGTATTCTCTTCAGTCATTTTTTCCTTTACTTGTTTATATTTTATCTTTGTTTTGTCTCTTTTTAACTAAAATGTTAAATTGTTTATAATCTATATTATTCTGTTTCAGCCACATAATCAGATTAGGTTTTATTTACTTGAAATTTTAAACTGTTTATATTATTCTTTTTATATATGCATTGTACTAATTTATTATTTACTATATTTACTGACGTGTCAAAACCCATTTATGGTATACGGACAAATAAAGATTGATTGATTGATTGATATCTGATGTGTTAATTTAGTTGCTTTATATTACGCAGGGTCTGCGATCTGGGGAGCGACATTTTAGCATCAAGATATCCTAGTTCGATTGAATCATAGCAGGTTTAAATAACAATTAATGGTCTAAATATTCCAAAGACTGGAAGAAATAGAATAAAAGACCAATATTAATGGAAAATCATAATTTATTTAAAAAAACGATGTCAAAATAATAAACTATTTACAAAACGTGGAGGTATTTTAGGCGTAAATAATTTTAATGGAGGTATTTGGAGTATCCTAAATGAGAGTATCCTAATCCAGAATATCCCAAACCATGATATCCCAATCCATAACCTAATCCATGATGTCCAAGACCGCCATAGAATCCGTGATCGTATCCATAACCGTGTCCAACGGCGATGGCGGGTGCAGCGGCGGCTACAATGGTTTTCGAAATGACTGGAGCTGCTACTGCGGTTTTGACAACGGCAGGGGCGGCATGTACAACTGGTGCAGCGTGAACAACTGGTGCAGCGTGTACAACTGGTGCAGCGGCATGCACAATTGGTGCAGAGTATCCAATTCCATGCCCGTATCCCAATCCATGTCCGTATCCCAATCCATGTCCGTATCCCAATCCATGTCCGTATCCCAATCCATGTCCGATACCATGTCCTAAACCATATCCATATCCCAAACTATGTCCGTAACCCAAACCGTGTCCATATCCCAAACCGTGTCCGTATGACAGGGCTGGTGCGGCAAGTGCAGCATGTCCGTATCCCAATCCCAAAAGACCTCTCTTCTCAGTCTTCTTCTCCTCTTCAGCACAAACTACGGCGACAATCGCAAGTACGCAAACCTGAAAACCACAACGCACTCCGTCAACTGGTCCCGCACATCAACATCATACTCACCAAGAACTTCATTTTGATATTATTGCACTTGACTGTAACTGGAACAGACCTAATGTGATGAAGTCCATACCAAAGTTGGCTTTATATACCGGCAAAGCTTTTGCAAATCACGTGTGTGAATGAAAACTGGACCATTCACATCCCAAACAAACCGACGGCGCACACGGGGGTAACACTTGCACCTCAATTCGTGTATCGCACAGCGCGCCGGTAAAACTCGTTAATTATTACATAATTAGGCCGGATCCGGCGATCAGGGCTGAATAAAATTAATAGGCGTTCATTACTTTCAAATTTTATATAATTAATTAATTGTATTAATCACTTGAAAAAGTTAGCAATTATTGAGTGACATTTCAAAATTTCCATTGATTTAATCGACTTTTCCGCAAGAACTGTTGCACAACCAGAAGTGCTGTGCATAGTCAACATAGGGGCTGTATGGATTTTGCCCACAATTAACCTAAATGGTGTAGTATAAAATTTTTGTTGAAGAAATCTTTTCGTAATTCTTTTAATGCGTGTGTCCGTTGCCTAATCCACGCGAAAATATGTGAATTTTATTCTTTCGGCATCCCATTTAGCGTAATCTAAATAAACAATAACAAAGGACGAAATTAACCTTGCAATTGAATTGGGTTAAACTATTTTGAATGTATTTCTAAAGTCACACTTTCATTAAAAAAAAAAAGACTAAAATAATTGACAATTATAATTAAATATTTATCTCTCAAGGTTACACAACGTAATTTGGCTACCTACACGATTGCGCTTACTTAAATTTGGAAATCTTATACCAAAAATGCACTTTCATGGGAAGCTTGCACATTTTTCGGAAGATTAAAGTTTGTCGTTCGTTATTTTGCTAATGGTTAGCCGTAAATCTCGTCCTCATTAATTTGTCGAAGGCTATCATTTCATTATGCAAATTCTATGCTAAATTTGTCACTTTTAACTAATTTCATTGCACGAAATTGTAACAAATAAATAACATCGGCGAGGAAAAAACTGGACGTCCTGATATGGAAAGTACCAAACGAATATGATGAAGGTGTGGTGAACATATGATATATCTGTAAAAGGGAAAGTGAGAAGAATACATAATACGAGTTTTATAGATTATAGATTGTGTTTTTAGATATTGTAAATACGGTTCTGTTTTAAAAAAAATGATTTTGTACTTTCAATAATAATTCGTCGCTCATTTTCGACCTGGTTTCGCTTTACTTGCACTTCGCAAAGCCAACTATGGCGTAATCCAAATTTGTAAAGTTTACTTTTCGCGTGTTAAGAACTTGTTACATTCACATGGGCCCGTACTTAAATCGTTCTTATTTATTGCTCCCAAAATTACAAGGCCGCTAGTTCTCATCAAAACACATTTGACATTTACACTTCTTAAATTATTTATATAGTTCTACTAATCAAGTCTGATAAATAGCTAAACTACCGATTTTTATAAGTGGTTTATGTTTCACAAATCTACCAAGAAAAATGCTTTAAATTTGTCAGATAACAAAACCTCAGCGCCCCCATTACAGCCGTCAAGCATTTATATAATGTTATCGGACATATTGAAACAGTGGTTTGGGAAGCGATCAAATCCAAATAATACTGTATGGAAAACAAGAAAGATAGTTTTTGTCTGAATGTTTCTTGTTCTTGTCTATGTAACGGGATTCTGGATTACGATAGGAGGGTGACTAGAGTCCTCCGACCTCTCAACGTCACTCAAGCCATCCCGCACGTGAGATAAACCTCAGGATGCTGGAAGGGGCTACTCTAATCGTAGCAATTTTCGGTTAGGATACCCCCAAGGATCGTCTCAGTTGGATTAGAGCGGAACATTCACAAAGTATGTGGTGTGCCGTCTCGTCGTCTGTATACCATCATTTATAAGATGGTGATTCTACCAAATCCATGCAGTGTACGTGTTTGTTTAATGTCCAGGAGTAACTTCAGGTTTTTTCTTGATACCCCTGTGCAAAAACGCGCCAGGTCACGAGATGGTCCGTTGAAGGCTTCTTTCGCATAGCGACAATCTAACATCATGTTCCACTTATCCATGTGCTGGGTTTGGGTGCCTTGAGCCGATTCTGGACCATAAAACACCTGTTTTGAGGCCAACCGGGCTGACTCATCCGCTTTATCATAACCTTCCGTTCCAGTATGTCCTTTGACGTATGCAGGCTCAAGAGTGTTGCTGCTTGCTACTTGCTCTAGTGCATGGTGACATTCGGACCAAGTGCCTGCAGGGTAGCTCTGCTGAGATTCTAATTGTGTTGCATAAGGACTTTTCTTGCCACTAAACTTAAGTCCTGCCAACTCTCATTGGAATACAGTAGGAAGTTTTCCTAGTGGTTGGGTGATATGGAAGTTCAGTTCTTTGGAGTAAATACCAGTGCCTGTTCCTTCCATTGTTTTAGATCCATCCCTGAAGATGAATATGTAGGGTTGGAATGATGTCCATTAACCTAGCAGAGTAAGGTCAGCAGAACACAATGAAACATATTGCATAACTAGGTGCTAATTAAGTACTCTATTCCGAATTAAATGCTCCTTTTTAAATTATGAACCTGGCAGAACATGTAATAATAAAAAAAAATGATCAAAGTCCTCGTGTGAGATCGAAGGGACTTCAGCGCATTTTTGTGTGGCAGATCAGTGTTTTATTAGCCAATATTGACTCCACCATCAAGAAGATCTTGCCGAAAGCTACCACGTTCACTTTGTCGGTACCATTTTCTCACTTACCGTGCACTCGCAATTCGCGTTTGAAGTTTTAACTCCACCGTCAGTAAAATCCTTTGGGGGTTACCATATTCCCTTTGTCGACACCCACTTCTGATCACCCGCAACAAATCGGATTTGAAGTTTCGACTCCACCATCAGTAAGATCTCGTCGGGGGTTACCACATTCCCTTTGTCGATACACAGTTCCGACGTCCCGTTCATTCGTAATTCACATTTTGGTAGATTTCGTTAAAATCCCGGCATAAAATCGTATTCAACTTTTGGGTACTTCACATAGCTCGACCTTCTATTAGTGACACGAGAAAGAGAGACCGCGATTCGCGCTGTAAGAAACTTTTGGGGGCCCAAAGTCGACAACCCCTCGAAGCGCGCCGCGCAAAAGGTGGTTTATTTCGCCCCTAGGAAAAAAAACAAAATTCCGCCACGCAGGAGTTGTGCGCGTTGACAAGATCTTCCCGACGACACCAATTTGAAAACAATCGGAGAAAAACTGTAGAAGAAGATAGATAAAAACTGAAAAATCTCCAGGTTAGTATAATACGCTCGGGGATGGCGTCCAGATGTCGTCGACTCCAAATCTGGTAGCCCCATCCCTAACGTTCTTAATTACACGGCCCCGATAGTTACATGTACACTCCTTGTCTTTTTACAAGCGTTTTTCTACGGGCGCGCATTTACTGCCAGCCAGCCAGCCAGCCAGCCAAAGTGAGATTAAAAGCTACTTTTTACAAAAAAATTTTTTTGCAAAAATGCGCTAAAAAGGAGCATTTAATTCGGGAATAGGGCACTTAATTAGCACCTAATTATGCAATATGTTTGATTGTGTTCTGCTGACCTTACTCTGCTAGGTTCATGGAGATGTTGGAATGCCACATCCTCATCCAGAAGGATGTGAGCTTTGCGTCTTTTTCTCTCCGCCTATCCGTTTCTCCGCTTGCCAGGAGTTGCTCTAGGTGTCTGGGGGCTGACTCACAAGACGTGGATTGTTTGGAGGTGACTGTTGGAGCAGTTTGACCCATTTGGGCTAGTCTGACCTTCTTTTTGCTCTTCTGCTCAGTGCCGGAGATGCGCTTGCGTGGTTTGGCGTGTTGTTGAGGCTCGTGGCCCTCCCTCTGGTTTATTATTTTGATCAGTCCCCATGTCGGAAGAGTGCAAATTCGTCCCTGTAGCTCCCCATCCACCACGGAGTCCAACAAGGGGACGTCTATATTGAAGAATATAGCCTCTAAAGGTAGCAGAAAACAGGCTCGATTTCGTTTCGGAGTAGATCATTCGAGAACTGTCTACGTTCAGCTAGTCAGTCTGCTGGCACCACCCTACACACGCCCACCGAGTCGGCGGCTGACCCGACGACACAGCCGATAGTGTCTCCCGTTTTAAGCGAAGTTCCGGCCAAAGTAATGTGTTGTCGCTCTTCAGGATCTGTTCATCGCCTCGCACGCCACAAACACGAAGGTTTTGCTCTGGATTCATACGCCGAGTCAAGCCTGGTGTTACACGCCGCCTTGATCAATGAACCACTCAAGTTCTAGAACCACGACAAGGCGCAACACTGAGGGGGATATGTAACGGGAGTCCGTTGACGGATTTATTTTGATTCGCATTTTTACGTGGTATGTCTTCTGACATTTACCCGTGTAGGAGCGGGAAATAATCGGGATTTTACTTTTACCGATCATTACTTCTTTCCCGATTTTAGACGATATTAGTCTTATACTTGGCAGTACTAGAAGGCGAACCCGAGGACTACTTTCCAGCTTTGAAACTGTGTTACGAGGGGACTTGGGTACTCGAGATTTGTTGTGTTGTAGGCCACTAGGAATAGTGAAGATCGTGGCACCATCGGCGGTGTAGTGGCAGTTGAAGATTCAGATGCCCTCTATTTCACCTTCAATTCTTCCCTCTATTTCACTTTCAAGCTTAAGTTTCGGTAACATTGGAATCGCCGCGTCTAAGTTTGACCTTCAGTGACCTTGATTTTCCTTTAGTTCGGAAAGGAACCCTCGTTTACGACCTTCAGTGACGTTGAGTTCAAGAAAGAACCCACGTCTCGCGTATTTTTTCTGGTTCAGCGGTATTCTACATTACGAGGAGTTGAGTTATAGATACCAAACATCTCATTGGCTAGAACAAATGAGTTTTATTGGTGGAGAAGTACGTCCCCGAATGGGTGTGAATCAAAAAAGTAAAGTAGTGGGGAATAGAGCAATTAGTATTAACTCACGGTGCAATTCTTGTCGAGCAGTGAGTGAAAAAGGATCATTCGAATGCAAAGTAATAAACGCGATAATCAAGGCCGAGAAGGTTTGTGAACTCTAACACTATTCATTTGTAAAGTTACGTGTTGTACGGTTGCGTACATTTACGTGGTTTGAACGATGGTTGATTATTGTTTAAAATACCGCATTGTAAATTGTTTATTTTCTTGTAAAATTGGGTTAAGGAAAGATAAGGGACATTTGCTGTAGACTTGTAGTTGTATTAAGTGTTTGTAAAAGTTTAAGTAACTTTAAAGTTTAAAATAAACCCACCGCTACGCCAAGGGTTGCGCTTACCGCTAAGAAGGTCATTCATTTTGTAAACAGATGTTGTCGCAGGTGCGCTCTTTAGATAGGAATTGTGCGTATGTTAACAGTAGAATAAGAAAGTGGTACGGATATAAAAAAGAGAGGGAAGACGTTTTAAATAAAACAGAAAGTGTTTTAACGTGGCCTTTGGACGTTTGTGGAAAGTCGGGTTGTAAGAAAGGTAGATGTACCTTCATATTTATAGAAAGTCCTGAAAAGACCTAAGGAGTCCCTAAAAGAAACTATAACAGTTTTGGAAAGTGTTAGACCTTTAATTCTAGAGAGTTTGGTTTTCCAGATGCTGTCTAGAGCTTTTCCATAGCTTTAGACCCTTATTTTGTTTTTTTCGGTGTTTTATGAAACAGATCTCCGACCAATAATGGCTTCCTGCTTAAAGATCTTTCCAGATGTTTCCAAGTCAGCGATTTTCCATTTTAATAAGTAATCGCACAAAAAACATTTTTTATTTTCCTCAGTGCAGTCTATAATAACTAGCAGGGTTTAAATTTCCGGGAAAATCGATGTCGAAAGGTAAATGGTTTCCGGATTCGCTTAATATTCAATGAAAAATTTGTAAATTCCCAAAACAATATTAAAATTCCCAGAATAGTTATTTACTTACATAAAAGTCAGGAAAATGAGACATTACTGGCGAGGAAATATTGAAGTGCGAGGCCCTTTGGGGCCGAGCACTTTAATTCCCGAGTCAAGTAATGTCATTTTACTGACGAGTTTTGTATTAAATTTTACCCGAAATCGTATTTTAATATAATATTTCAATTTGTATATAAAACTTTTGATTAATGTCAATCTGTCAATGATGACAGGAGTTACTATAAACATTAGAAATGTCACAAATGCGGCCGGTAAAGTGGCGGTGCGGCCGGTAAAGTGACAGTTGCGGTCAGTAAAGTGACAAGCGTCAGGAAACGTAGTCTGCTCTGCCTCTGTCATGGAACCTCAAATTTCCTGACAGAAAGTTTCAGGACGATTTTGGGTATTGTTTTTCCCTATGTCTACTTTCACATGACAAAATCTCTTCTGAAGGGCGCCTGATTTTATGACACCAAAATAACATCTTAAAACAACTGAAGAAGAAGTTGATACTGTCAATTATTGGTATAGTGCCGGAAACAGTTTAAGGAGCGTAAAAGATTTATTTTCTGTTAAGCCAACACAACAGCAATATTCGAACAGCTTGATGTTTATTTGTTTTAAAAAGTTTATTTCAGATGCATAAAATTAGGCGCCCGTGAGAAGCGATTTTGTCTTTTAAAAGTAGACATAGGCACAGATAAAATACCCTAGAAAAAACCTCCTCGTATATTATGTTCTCCTAGTAGCACGACACCTTTTGCATAAGTTTGTCGACAAGTAACAGGTGTAGTATTAGGAAAATAAACACCTCTTCGCACTCATATGATCCTGATACAGAATTGGCACATTTTTAAATCTAATGAAAGCTTTGAAATAATTCTGACAGGGCTAGGAAAAGACCTCTTCGTTATTATGTTTTCCTAGTAGCACGACTCCCTTTGCAAAGTTTGTCGACAAGTAACAGGTGTAGTATTAGGAAAATAAACACCTCTTCGCACTCATATGATCCTGATACAGAATTGGCAAATTTTTAAACCGAATGAAAGCTTTGAAATAATTCTGACAGGGCTAGGAAAAGACCTCTTCGTTTATTATGTTTTCCTAGTAGCACGACTCCCTTTGCAAAGTTTGTCGACAAGTAACAGGTGTAGTATTAGGAAAATAAACACCTCTTCGCACTCATATGATCCTGATACAGAATTGGCAAATTTTTAAACCGAATGAAAGCTTTGAAATAATTCTGACAGGGCTAGGAAAAGACCTCTTCGTTATTATGTTTTCCTAGTAGCACGACTCCCTTTGCAAAGTTTGTCGACAAGTAACAGGTGTAGTATTAGGAAAATAAACACCTCTTCGCACTCATATGATCCTGATACAGAATTGGCAAATTTTTAAACCGAATGAAAGCTTTGAAATAATTCTGACAGGGCTAGGAAAAGACCTCTTCGTTTATTATGTTTTCCTAGTAGCACGACTCCCTTTGCAAAGTTTGTCGACAAGTAACAGGTGTAGTATAAGGAAAATTGGCAGAATTGGCAAATTTTTAAATCGAATGAAAGCTTTGAAATAATTCTGACCTTTATCCCTTTATCTGTGACATAGGGAAAAACACACGTAAATCTTCGTAATTATCCCTGTATAACTTACCTGAAGATCTGTACATTCTCAAAAGGACCTCGAAGCTCTTTCGAATTCCAAAATGAGTTGAATATCTCTTCCATGCTTCCGTAGAAACTTACCTTTGAAGCAAAATATGCACATAGGTCGAGTTGTGAGTTACGTGAAACAAATATCTACTTGTATTGTATGTTGCTATAAAATGAAATTAGAAAGGCAGTAATGTGACTATTTATTTTAAAAGCTTTCGGTACAAACAGCCATAGTAGACATCATCGAAATGAATTACATAGTTCTTCTAAACTAATAGGAAGGGTTGTCAAAAAGATCTTACTTTCCCCCCAGGCCTAATCTACAACAGGACTGTCCGGTCGGACAGATTCCAGGATCGGAACCAAACACGCAGAAGTTTACACATGAGTATGGTGGATCGCAAAACGTTGCTATGAAATGGATTAAAATTAGTGCCGATGTGTGAGATGTGAAACTTTATCCTTACCGGTTGCTGGAGACCAGAATACAGCAATCAAGGCAACGATAATGAATGCAAACAATTTCATTATTATGCGGACAGTTCAACAACTTAATGAGAAGAAATCGCGTTACTTATTTTATATGGTCCTGTTATCTTTGGGCAACCACCTCAAAACACGCAGATAAACAATTTTTTGTTAATTACTTCCAAATAAGCAATTCCGCTAAGATAACGAATCAGATGTACTTCACCAATCTCATTTTAAATTTAGGTGATAGACGTGAAATATCGTAAAATTTTGAAGGTCCCTAGAGCTCCATGCGACGGTTTAAATACCGAAGACCGGGAGAGCAGTAAATTTGGTTAAAATCCTCTAACCGTAAAGACTCTAATTGTAACTCCTTATCCGAAAACAGTCCAAAAAGAAGTTTGGTTACTGAAAATTACGCAAAAACTAGAATTTCCGCTAATTGAACTACTAATCAACAAGGACAATAATACCACAGATAACATGTTTGAATTAAAAATAAATTATAACTTCCTCATAAGGACCATGTTTTCTTTTTTAAGGAATTCTGGAATGTTCAATCATTGCTTTGTATTCATATCAATACAATTACAAAATAATCCAGAACCCTTTTACCACATGTAGCGAATTACCTACTGTTTCTCCAACCACCTGAATATTTGTCATCATTTTATGTACTACGTCAGGAGCGTTTATGGAAGCGACTCGAGGGACCAACTGAATGTTTTGTCTCCCGTATGCTAAATGCACCTCCAAAAGGTGCAACAACAGTGCAACAAAACGAAAGTGTTGGGCTATTATCGTTTTTATAAAAAATAGTTTCCGGTGGAGGAACAACCCCGCCCAACACATTTTCTCAATTAATAAAAAAAAGTACTACCGGCTTTGTACACCGAAAGTTGTTGCATCGAAAGTACATTTTTCAGGATGGCAAGATTATACATTTTACAGTGAACCAAAAAGTAACTTTTGCGCTTTTATGGTTTCCATTTTACTTTAAAGTAATTGCTTTTTACATCTGGTTTAGAGGAAATTTAGGTATATGTAAAAAATTTATATTGTATCGTTAACGTGCCAATTTATCATCTAGTATTATGTTCGAAGAAGTTATTTTTATCCCGGAATGTAAGATAACACACCCGGTTAGTGCAGTGCGCAAAAAGTACCTAAGTCGCACTAAATGCGACTGGACTCATTTTGTTTTATTAGAGATAGCGGAACAATAAAAAATAATAAAAATAAAATAATGAAAGGCATTTTATATACTGCACTTTATTTTTTGACTGTTTGACTCAATAAGCCATTCGGTGACAAACTTATATAGCAATGGCCCTGTGTCTATTACTTTCCTCCTAATCCCAGACTGCAGCAGGTCTGTCCGCTTGGGCAGATCCCAGGTCCGGCACCAAGCACGCAGAGGTTCACACACGAGTATGGTGGTTCGCAAAATTGTGCTACAACATTGGTTGGGATTAATGCCGATTTCGACGATTAACCAAAAATAAAGTAATTTCATACTTACCGGCCACTGGAGACCAGAAAACTGCCACTAAGGCGACAATAACGAATACTAGGAACTTCATTGTGACTGGTTTCAGATTGACTTAGCAAGAACCATTCCAGGTATTTCTTTTATATTCCTTAGTTAATCACTTTAAGCTTAGTTAATCACTTTAAGCTTAATTTGTGTACGTTTACTTCTAATTAATCATAGCCGTTTGGATAACAAATCTTATGCGGTTCGCCATTTGTAAGTAACACTGCAGTTATTTGTTATAGTGAAACGGAACTTGTTCGTTACATACATAATTAATTTATTTATGGAAAAGTTACCGCAAATAAGAGTTTAAAAATGCATTTGATAAAAAATACCTCGTGCATAGTATAATTAATTTCGGATCACCTCCTGCATTTGCTCGAAAATTTGTCACACTAAAGTTGATGACACGCTGAGAACGTGGGTAGCATCTCCAAGTGAATCCAAAATGTTTGAAAAATAATTTAGTAAATTCCGCCAATAGCACTCTCTGCCAATCACTCCTTTGCTCGATCGCGTCTAACACAACTTTTGACATTTTTGTAAGCCAAATTTCATCTAGAAATCTTTTAAAAAAGTAAAGGGTGGGGTTTGAGTATCTTGAATTTTAGGACCCATAAATCATTTGAAGTTACATAACATGATTAAGTATCGACTTATGGGTCTTAGTCGATTTTTCTATGCTTGTCCGATATTTCTCTTTTTTTTTGGAAATGATCTGGCCTAATAATTGTGGTATCGATTACTGAGGTCGATCGTTTTTTATTAACTTTACTGAAAAGAAATGTTGTTGGTAATCCACTCAATTGCAGTATGATACCAAAACAACAGCTCGCTTTTTTGACTTCAGAGGTTTTTAATAGTCAACTGGAGACTAAAAACCAACCGCCGAGATTCCAATAAATATGTCCCTAATGTCAACAACTTATCCCCAACTTTTCATTGGATTTTTTTGACTTAGCAGCCAATGGTTATTGAAGCATGTTGTAAAATTAAACAGTTGCGTCAACTATTTGGTAAGGCTGTCATATGACGACGGTCATATGTTAGAAACTACGCTTGTACCAATTTAGTTTATGACCGCTATTTTGAGGGATCAGTAAGCATTTAATACACTTTATTGCTAGCTAATTACAAGATTATTTGCGGTATGCCTTTATACTATATTGATATACCATCAAATTTACGAAAAGGCGGCGGAATTACTAGAAAAATTAGAAAAACGTGATATCACGGCATTTAATAATAAACCCATAAAGAGCGTTTAAAAAAGCGGCAGAGCACCTCGGTGTGACCCCAAGGAGTCATTGTATTTGACCCATTTTCAATAGACTTGTTACATGTGGCATATAAGTCTGCTGTGCAAAGTTTCAACCGAGCGTTTGGCAGGGACAGAGAAGCGTGACCCCATGGGGTCATTGGATTTGACCCATTTTGAATACGCTTATTACATGTGGCATACAGACCAATTTTGCAAAGTTTGAACTAAATAGATTCAAGCGTTTGGCAGAGACAGAGAGGCGTGACCCCGAAGGGTCATTGGATTTGACCCATTTTCAATAGGCTTATTACTTGTGGCATATATAGGTCAACTTCCAAATCCTAATCATAATTAAAGGTAGGTATAACATAAATCTCTTACCAAGCTGATAAAATTAACAAAAATAGTATAGTTACAGTTACACCAAAGAGTAAGGTATTCTTTGGTTACATATAAGAAGACGTACCAAATCAGATAAATAACAATAGTTTCATAAATTGCACTTTATTGTTAACAATTTAACTATTTGCCTCTAAAATCCATAGGGAGCATATATAATATGACAGCAATAGTAGGTATAGGTACATAGATTACTTCATGTTATAAATGGCCGATTAAAAGACTTCCATGTTCGCTTACTTTCCTCCTAGTCCAAGTCCGCAACAGGTCTGTCCAGGAGGGCAGATTCCAGGGCCGGCACCGAGTATGCAAAGGTTTAAGCATAAATATGGTAATGCGCACGTTTGGGCTGTAAATTGAAAGGGAATTAAGACAGTTGACCGAAATCTAAATATGGTAGAACCATTGTATTTAAATACAATAACAGAACCTGATATATACCGGTTACTGGAGACCAGAAAACGGCAACCATTGTGACGATGACCAGCAATACGAACTTCATGGTGGATAAATGATGGGGGACTTAATGGAATCAAGGAGCACCGCTCCTTTTATGGGATTCTGCTATCTTCACCAATAGCACAGAAACAAGGGGATAAGGAAATTTTTTTAATTACCTCCAAAGATCGATATGAGATCCTTAAATCCGCCAGCCTTAATATTAAAACGAAAATTATGATGGCTAAGTACATAATTTATTTATGTATACCACGAAAAAGCCTCAATACGTTGTTACATCAAATTATCATTTACTTATGAGGATGGAAACGGACATCATAACTACGATGTGGTGCTTAACTTAAAGTCGTTTATAGATCAAAGGGCCATGAAAAAGTTGCAGATAATGCTAAATAGACTGTCATAGCAGTAATAACTGATAAGGGATTTTGTCACCATATGTCGTATATTGTATTTCACATCTCCTAAAAGGTAGTAAGAAAACCACGATTAATTAATTTGAATATCAATTAGTATTCAGGCGATTTCAACGTTAAGTTCCATACACAAGATCCTAATGCAAAAATACTGTGTAATTTAAGGGCTTCTTTTGGTTTTGTAGAAACAATAACTTTTCCTACAAGAAACAATAATTGCATTGACAATGTGTTTATCAACTTCAGTGAAGTGTATTACCTACTGTAAATCATAGTGCTTTTGCCATTAAAATGTGCAGACCAATTACAAGGAAGGGCGATATGAAAACTTTTCCATGTAATTATTAAGCATGTATAATATTTTAGATTTTTCCATTGTTTTGACGAATGTAAGTTTCTTTTGTTAACTATGCATGAAATAAATATTATTATGGTCGGTGTTTCTTGTGAGAACTCAGGTCTAGCCTGGTTAACTAATATTATTATTATTATGGTCGGTGTTTCTTGTGAGAACTCAGGTCTAGCCTGGTTAACTAATCGCACGGATTAAAATCAAGTAACGATTAGTATCTGTGTCTGGTGCAGTGTTATGTAGGGTCCTTAAACAAAACAAAAAAAAAACACGTGCATTTCATACTTACCAACATAGGTATTGATGGGCACAATAGCCAACGCTATTTATTATTATTATTATTATTATAGTGTCGGTAACAGTTTAAGAAGTGTAACATATTTATTTTCTGTTAAGTCAAAGCAACAACATTCAAACTAATTAATAAAACAGCCAGCTGTTTACTTGTTTTAAAAAGTTATTTTGAATGTCTATATGCGCCCTTCAGAAGAGACTATGTATTTTGAAAGTAGGCATAGGGACAAATAATATACATAAATCCCTATGTCTACTTCTTAATAAATAGCACTGTATATTATTTAATGCCCAAACTGAGTTTTTGATACTGTCGCATTTTAATTATTTTGATTTGTATAAAATAGTGGTCGATTATTTTCAGGAATTTGCATAATAATTTTGTTTGAAGTAATTTTGATATTCCTAAAGAAATTGACCTACGAGACTTTGTATGAGACAGATTGGGTATTGCATTTATTGATAAGAGACGAATCCAAACAGAGGATTTGAATTATTTTGTTCCATTGATTGGGAATACGAAAGAGTAATCGCCGAAGTTAGGATTTAAGTTATTTCCACCAGTGATGGAGTAAATATTTTATAGAAGAGGTTTCAGAATGTTTAAATTTACTGGTTTCAAGAATCCTTAAAGAAAATTAATTCAAGAAAAAAAACTACATCATCAATTCAGGAAGGTTAAACTGAAAACATAATGTATTCGTAAGAAAATCAAGATATCTTTGGAAGCTTGGAAATTCAAGAACAAAACTTAGGAGGGTGTGACACAACAGGAACAACCCCGAGCAAGTGAAGAAGCAATAATGAGGGCCAGACAACGTGACGCAACAACAAACCGGTCAGACACAAACTGAAATGCGGCAATTGACTAACATGATGGCGATACTTATCCAAGGCCAAGATAAAATGCAGAAGAAAATAGAAGAAGTGCGTCAAGAATTCAGAAAGAAACAGGTTCAATTAGAGAATAAGATTAAACATGACCAAGAGAAGGCAAGATAAGAAATTAGAGAAGAAATTAAGGAAAACCGATTAAAAATTCAAGCAGTGCGTGCAGAAATCGGCCAAAAACAAAGAGAGTTCTGCGACCAGTGGGAGCAAAATTAGTAACTTTTAATGAAATTGCAGGTAAATTGCTTCTTTTCTTGAGATAGATATTGATTAATTATCGATACTTAACCGTACCTCCCATTGTTGCTCCTAGGTTTCTCCAACCCGGGTCGTTTGTCAGACAACAACACATTTGGCAACGCTACCTTCCGTAAGACCAACACTGAACTTGCACTATAAAAGGAGATCTTATAGCCATAATAAGTAAATATTTGGTGTCTAAGATTTATATAAAAGCAAATCTGTTTTTTTAATAGTCCTATATCTCAAAAACTGATTTTGTGCCTTTTCAGTCACTTTCAATTGGACAAAGCCATTAGGTACTAGTAAAACTGTTCACTCATGAATCTCTACGAAAAATCCAAGCCTTTAGATACCAGTGTAACCTGACAGCCGACAAAACGTTAAAGAACAAAATTGCGAACCAACTTTAAATCTCGGAGCATCTAAAACCCATTTGCAAAATTTGTTTTAGAATTAAAACAGTTGGCGCCGTTCTCTTTGGTTTTTGTAAACGAATGAAGTCGTGTACATGCGAAATAACCTTCAACCACTGCCATGAGTGCTTGTTTAAATGTAGGTCTTTTCAATTCACCTTTAGTGGATTCAATCAATCCTTGACATATTCGTATTCGGGTAATGGACGAAGGTTGTAACCGATGGCCGCTTTGTCGTTTCAAAGATTTTGTTCTTAATTTGTATTTTGTTTAACATGGAAGCTTTACACATAATACCGCTTTATAGCGAAAGTGAACAAGAGTATGTCTGGAAATACGAGATAACAACGGGTGCATTTTGAAAAAAGGGTGCCTTTTCGAGATATAAAACTAGTGAGAGTTGTAAAGGGGGTTTTAGGCAGACGAGGCGAGACGTTCAAAGAATTAGTACGATTTTTATTTTTCATAATTGCAAATATTTTTCGCGGTTAGATTGTGCAAGTTTATTGTTTGTTAACATAGTGGCGCTGTTTTTTTAACTTCGATTACGTCGTTGGGAAACAATTAAACGAAGTCGAATGTGTGGCAAAGTACTAGTTAACGACTTTACGCAAAAAGGAGAAAGATTAAACGGACTGCCAGCCTGATTCGTAGCAAGGCTAAAAGTGATCAAATTTACGCGAGGGAACATTTTCGAATCGGAGGACCTCTGTTCAAATAAAACACGGGATTAAATAAACTGACATTAAAACTCAAATTTAATTTCCGTGAGATATTTCCTTTGGTTTGATTTAAACTTGGTTTAGCATTCAGAGAAGTGTATATGTTGAGAAAAGACAATTTTTATAAAATAAATAATCAATTTGTAGAGCACTACGGTATCAGTATTGTAATCCAAGTGTTGACGAAAAGTTGCCTTCAGTTTTCAATAACAATAAAGTTTGTTGTGTTCGTTAAATAAATTAGCCTTAATCATATCCACTTTGTTACCTATTAATTACAGTTCATTTGAACTTTTCCTGACAGTATGTATTTTGAACAGGAGAATGTACCCGGAATTTATTATGTGGTAAAGATGAATTAAAGATAAGGATCAAATTTAGCACGTGATTGCATTTTTTATAAGTACTACCATTGAATAATAATTATTCAATGGTACTACTTTTTATAAGCAAAACCAATATTTTAAATTAATTATCTTGGAAAGAAAAATGGAATTTGAACGTCCTTACTATCGACGAACCATAGTTCCTCACTAAAGAAGTATATATTTCAAAAATTATTCGCAATAGAATAACCCAGGTGTACGGTACTAAAGACCCATTTTATTTTCAAGTAAAATATTAGTCGAAACAATTTCGATGGGGGTCTAGACTCTAGACGGACGACCCACCATCCTGTAAACCAGTAATCAATGCAAAACGCCCACCTCCAAAACTTCAAAAACAGAAAGTTAATGGCGACCATTTTTTGGGACTGTGAGAGTGTTATGCCTTTTGAATACTTCGCAACAGGAACTACAATTAACAGTGTAAAACGAAAAAAAGCGCCCTCGTGCCAATGGCTGAGATTCCAACAAATACCGTATCCCTAATGTCAACAACTCATCCCTAAATCTTTGCTGGAAGATATAAACAAGTATAAATTGTGTACAACTCTTATGCAGATAAAGCGCATTTTTTTTTACCGAAATAGCTTTTGTTTTGACATCACCAATGAATATATTTCTTGCAGACGTCTCAATCGCCTTTGATGAGTACCCTCTTCCGACAATCCGTTCTTGAGGTAGTATAAGGGAATATACCCGATTACGCTAAGAGCCCACCCCCCGCAGGCCCCGTCGTTCACTGATCTCGAAAAAGAGTCGCACGGGAAAGTTATAGTTTGTACAAATCAATTTATTGCGATGAGACCTCTCATTAGAATACCATGAAGGGTAGAACTGAACTGAATTTGGCACCACTAAAGGCACGCGTATGCAAAATCTGAGACCAATTTGGTTGTCGTATGTAAAAGTTATGCACGTTTTACTTTCAAAAACAGCATCTCAGAAAATAATTCGTGGGGGGGGGGGGCCTTTAGACAACGAAATTTCAAGGTATAGGCTATCTACTACAAACAATTTCAGGACTCTAGGACCATTCCCCTAGAAGTAGTTCAAAACGGCAGAAGTGGGTCCGGACAGACGGACGGACAAAACGCAAACAATAGCACATTCTTTTTAATTCTTAAAAAATGCGCTAAAAAGGGGATAAGCAAAATTATTAATTTCCGTCAAGGATAACGATATGGGATGTGGTTCATCATTCCCTTAATCCCTCGGGCATAATTATTACAAAAACGGAAATTGTTATGGTTACATAATTTATAGAAAAAATAAGGTTTCGTTATCAAATTACCTTAATTAACTGATTAGGGCGGCAGAACCGGGCGATTTTAATTTTTGTTTGAGGCGAGCCTACAGCAATCAACTCTTCCAAGATGAAATAATTCAAAAACAAACATGATTTAGACAGGTTAATTGTGTTTCCTGCAAATTCTGGAAATGCGAATTTACGATTTGAATTTGTTTCTGAAAGTTCCAATTTGAAAACTCCAGAATTTGAAAGGTCTTAGGAAACGATAGGGAATGTTCCATAGAAGTTGCGATGTCATAGATTACCGAACAATGACGAAAATTATTGGTAATTTACAATATAATACCTCATACGTTTTGTCTCTATAATTCAGTTTGGGGGTCCTGGGATCTTGCTCTAATAGTGATGATGTAGTGGTTGAAAACATCGATATTTCAATACCATCAAGCTCAAAGCTGTTTTTAAACTAGTTTATCGTGTACATGGACAAAAAACATACAGAAATAACAATTAACTTAGGCTTGCATTCTTTATTTTGATTTTTCTTTATTTTATGTTTAGAATGTTTAACTCAAAAGGCCATATGTAACGTGTTACGCAATAGACAACAATGTAGTGGAAGGGCCGCGTAGATGGACCGACTACTTTATTTTCCTCCTAATCCCAATCCGCAGCAGGTCTGTCCAGACGGGCAGATTCCAGGACCGGCACCGAACACGCAGAGGTTTACACATGAATATGGAGCTTCGCAAAATTGGGCTGTAAAATGAAATGAAAGTAACAAAAAAATTCAAACACACCATAGCAAAGTTAATCAATATTTACCAGCAACTGGAGACCAGAAAACTGCAGCCATGGCGACAATAACGAACAGTAGGACCTTCATTGTGAATGTAGGAATGATTTAGTAGAAACAAGCAGCCTTACTCCTTTTATATGATTTCGGCAACCACAACGAAATACGCAGATAAGCAAAATTTTGTTAATCTACCCCGAATAATCAAATGTACTAGGATAACAAATCAGACGTGGTTCGTATTTCAAATAATCATGCAATGGAAAATTTAAAAAAATTCGAATTCGATCATTTTTCAAAATTGCGCTGTTTCCATTTTACTATTTGAGATTAAACACGCATGCGCAATCGAAATGTGTCGGAAAAATTTGTATTTTCAAAAAATTAATTTTTAGGTTTCAAATTATGAATGCGCACGATGAATCAAAATAATTAAGTTTCAGAAACTTAATTAGTGCTTTTAATTTGAACTCTTGATACCCTTTCACAACTGAAACTCATTTTCAAATTCTTAGATACCACAATCAACTCACATTTCAGTCTTTAATAGTTTTCGGTCGTAGATTGTAGCAATCGTACTTCTTTTTTGGAATTTTGAATAATGATTATTTTCAAACTCATCTGGGTAATGATACAAAGCAGTGGCGTAACTACCATCGGGCAGTTCGGGGCAATGCCCCGAGGCCCCGCAATCACGGGGGCCCCGCAACCCGAAAGGTGCCAGCCACACGTAGAAAACGATGTGTAGTATACAAAATATAAAAATGTGTGCCATGCCTCATTTTAGTGATTTGACTAGCACAATGTCAACGAACGAATTTTTCGAACTAATCATCAAACAATATGGGATTCTCGAGAGTGATTTTATTCAGATGTTCACGACTTTTTATTATTCTTGACATTACCTGTAACTGTGGCAAGTCTCGAGCGATCGTTCAGTAAGTTGAAAATCATAAAAAATTATCGAAGATCTCAAATAGGTCAGAAAAGATTTATCAATCTAGCATTTCTTTCAATTGCATCTAAAATCGCGTCGGAAATGGATCTGACCCAAGTAATCAAGGATTTGCAAATGCAAAGGCTAGAAAAAGAGACTTTTAGATTTTCTATATAACTTAGGCTCGTCAAATATGTATGTAATTATTATTTCAAAAATTAAACGTTTAGTATGTTCCGATTTTATATTTTGCAATTAATAAGAAGTATAGATTAAAAAAATGACTGTTTTAAGGTGATTTTATTTAAACGATTCTTATTAAAAACTTTAATGCGTGCCTAGTACTTATAGGGGGCCCCGAGGACCATTTGCCCCGAGGCCCCGAGCTGTCTTGTTACGCCACTGACGTCCCGTATCCTATGTTGGCAGGTCGCAAACAATTTGTTTTGACAATGCGTAAGACCGGAAAACTAAATTTCTGGTTTGGAGGTTTTCTCTTGATAGGTGGTGTTTTCAAGTAGCAACTTTTATTTGAGCGGTCCATGTGCTCAGCCAGCTTAAAATATACACAACACAATAGCGGCCAGGTATTTACGTCGGAACGTGCCAAAATGATGTACGATTAACAAGTGGTACCTGATGTAGGTAGCGAAATTTGCTCTAAAAGCGGCTTACCTGCGCGCTGGGCTCTCCAAAGTTCGTCGCGAAAGCCGTGGTCCTTTTTCGCTGGTTTGAAGGATTGGCCCAAAAAAAACTACGTTAGTAGAAAGTTAAGGGATACAACACTTTTTTCCAATAGAGAGAGATAAGGTCTCAAAAATGAGCCCAGGAAAAATACAAGTATAATTGTGCACAACTCTTGTGCAGACAAAGCGATTTTAACACCGAATAAACTTTTGTTTTGACATCACCAATGGATATATTTCTTGCAGACGTCTCAATCGCCCTTTGTGAGTACCCAATCACGAATAATAGGTCGAGGAGGAGGGATATGGTTTGGTAGAAGTAAAACTATCTCGAAAAAAGCGGGAAAGTTATAGTTTGTAAACATTTCGAATGAAGAACCTTCATTTAAAATACCATGAAGGATGGAAATGTATTTACTTTACCCCCCCCCCCCCCCTCGAAGTTTAAATTTTTTTGGGCACCACTTAAACATGCCGTAATGCCAAAATTTGAATACCAAATGGTTGTCGTATGTAAAAGTTTATGCACGGTTTTACTTTCAAAACCAGCATCTCAAAGAAATAATTCGTGGGGGGCACCCTTTTAGCAGGGAATTTGATGGCCGTCTGGCCACCTTCAAAAGTATAGGCTACCTAAAGCAAATTTCAGGACTCTAAGACCCCATTCCCCTTAGAAGTATTTCAAAACGGCAGAAGTGGGTCTGGACGGACGGACGGACAAAAACGCAAACAAAGCACATTTTTTAGCGCATTTTTTAAAGAATTAAAACAATGTGCTATTGTTTTCGTTTTGTCCGCCCGTCCTTCGGACCCACTTCTACCGTTTTGAAACTACTTCTAGGGGTCCAAGAAGGAACCGTTTTTTCTACCAACTACTGACCTTCTTTCTCCTCCTCTTATCAAACTACGTGGGAGGGGGGGGGGGGTGAAACTAGTTTTATCCTTTCATGGTACTTTAATGAAAGGTCTCAAACGAAACTTTCGTTACGAAAAGGAATTAATTTCTACAAAACATAGCCCTCCTA